CACAGCAGGCAGGGAGGCAGCCAGCAGGAGAGCAGGGAAGTAGAGTGCTCCACAGGATGAAGGGCTCACCTGGTCGTGGATAAACACCTTGAGCATCATGGAGCACCAAGCAGAATTTGGGACTGTTACCATGGTGGCATCAGCCAGAGAGGCTTTGCAGAGCTTCACAAGCCTCCTCCAAGCACAGCAACAGAGCAAACCATGGCTGGACTTGGTGACCTTAAGGGAGCTTTTCCACCCTAAATGATTCCACGATTCTGTAAAGGAGTGGTACCTTGTGTGTGCTGGCCCCTGAGAACCTCCAGGCAGCGCCCAGGATCCAGGGCTGTCTGAGCCTCAGCCTCCACTGCTCCTCCAGACCCACTCACAATGCAATGCCAGCAGAAGGAGCACTGCTGCAGAGCCTCTGTTCTTATATCCCACTGCTCCCTGTGTTAATTGATCCCTAATGAGCTTGTCAGGCAGCTGGGCAGTGATCTGGGCTAGTCTCCAGCACACCTTGGCTTTCTGGGGCTGCTGACAGCACTTCAGGACCAGCGGTTTGGGCTGCTGATTCCTCATCCACCCCAGTGCTTCTCCCAGCTCCAAGAAATTAAAGATGATGCAGAGTGATTTTGTGATCAAAGTGCTTCCAAAACCAGAATGGATATTGCAATCTAACATGAATACACAAACAGACACATTCAGATGCCCAAGGGAAGGCCAGGATGGTTTTCAAGACAAATAGCTCAGCTTATGTATTTCCTGGAAGTGACTTATATTCCAAGGGGATCTTTGTGCAAAGTTCAGAGGATTTGGGAAGTGTTTGTCATTCAAAGACACCCCCAGTACCTGCACAAACAGCACTACCCCTGTAAAGGCAGAACCAAGCCCCAGCTCCCCCTCCCCAGCAGGGATGAGGATGGACAGCACTGGACACCTCATCCCTGCGGGTATAAATAAATAATCTGTAAATCCAGAGGGCTGATGGATTTTTATCAGCACAAACACCTTCCTGCTGAGCAGGCAGCCCATGTCCCTGAATGCTAAAAAAGGGCAGGAATGGGCTCTGGCCTCCTCCACATTCAACACTCCCCCCCACGGCTCCTGTTCCGAGGGCTCCCACCTGGCCCCAGCACCTGGGAGCACCATTCCCAGCTCAGGGGTGGGACAGGGACTGTGGCAGGGCTGGGATCTCATGCCGTGGGTTAAGGCCACCACTGTGCTGCCCACGGGCTGAGAATGGACAGTGCCAGGAGCCCTGAGCCACGTCCCACTGGGATCTCTGCAGGGGCAGGGACTCTCGGCTGCACCGGGGCTTGCCCTTGCTCGGGGGGGGCAGGGATCTGTCCCCCCAGTACAGCCCTCGCCCTCCCCAACTCCCCACTTTGGGATCTCCTCCCACCTTGCGTCCGACCATGGTCCCTGCGCCAGAGCCCCCGTGATCCCCCGAGCCCTCCTTACCCCCCGTGATCCCCCGAGCCCTCCTTACCCCCCGTGATCCCCCGAGCCCTCCTTACCCCCCGTGATCCCCCGAGCCCTCCTTGCCCCCCGTGATCCCCCGAGCCCTCCTTACCCCCCGTGATCCCCCGAGCCCTCCTTACCCCCCGTGATCCCCCGAGCCCTCCTTACCCCCCGTGATCCCCCGAGCCCTCCTTGCCCCCCGTGATCCCCCGAGCCCTCCTTACCCCCCGTGATCCCCCGAGCCCTCCTCACCTCCTTCTGCTCTCCTCCCAGGTGGATTTTGAGGATGTGATAGCTGAGCCTGTGGGAACATACAGCTTCGACGGCGTCTGGAAAGCCAGCTACACCACCTTCACCGTCACCAAGTACTGGTGCTACCGGCTGCTCTCCGCCGTCCTGGGAATCCCCCTGGCCGTCGTCTGGGGCTTCCTCTTTGCCCTCATCTCCTTCTGCCACATCTGGGCAGTGGTGCCCTGCATCAAGAGCTACCTGATAGAGATCCAGTGCGTCAGCCGGATCTACTCCCTCTGCATCCACACCTTCTGTGACCCGTTCTTTGAGGCGCTCTCCAAGATCTGCAGCAACATCCGAGTTGCTCTCCGGAAGGAGATTTAGGTCCCGACAGCTGCCCCAACAGCCCTCGCACGACCTTCCCCGTGCAGGCTTCCTGCCCTCGGGCACAGGGGCACCCATGCCTGGTGAGGACCTGCACACACGGACACCTGTGCACGTGGATACCCCTGCCCAAGGACCTGCACGTGGACACCCATGACAAGGGAACTGTGCCTCACAGCAGGGCCCCACGGCAGAACTGGCTCTCAGGGATGCTCCCTGCAGATGGAGGCAGGCCAAGCTGCCTCTTACTCCATCCCAAAGCCAGCAGCTTAAGGAGAAGAGAAGCCCATCAAGGCTCAGGGAGCAGCCCAGGGAGATCCCTCTGCCCTCCAGGACCCCACGGCATCACACCCTGGTCCCACAGGAGGGATGGCAGCACCTCCTGCACCACAGCCCTGGGCCACAGCCTGCAGCTGCAGGATGAACAGTGCCTGCTCCTGCATCCCCCAGGCTGGGATGGCACTGCCAAACCCTCACACGGGAGTTCTTATTTGCTGCAAACAGTTGCTGTTGTAGGAGCTTCTGTGTTAAACTGTCACACCGAAGTTTTAGGGATAGAACAGCTAAAACAAACCTTTTTTCATGTGTGTTTGCATGTCAGCCAAGCTGTGAGAGCTGGATCAGTCAGTGTGTGACACGTGTCTGCTCTGGGAGCCTGAGCTGAGCCTGGGCCTGCACCAGCTGCAAACCCACCTGCGGCACTTTGATGCTCAATTATGTACTTAATTATGGAGCATCATTAAGTGCTGTGGGCAGGATCCGGGGCAGGACAGTGCAGGTGGAACACAGCCCTGTTGACCCCCCAAGCCAGGGCTGCCAGGAGGACAGTGGGCAGTGCCAGGGCAGTGGAACACGGCTTTTGGGAACTTCACTTGAGAGACACCAAGTTGGGCTCTAAGCAAAGCTTTGGCTTGTTCCTCAGGGAGAATCTTTACTACACACCCTCAGCCAGTGTCAGGGAAACTCCAGCCACAGCAGTGTGTGTATCCCACATGGTCAGGGCTGTCTCTCTGCTCTGTGCCCTGGGATGGAGCCATGGAGGCTGCAGGGGGCAGGACCACGCCAAGCTCTGGGCTCTGCCCGGCAGGAGGGGATCACATCTGGCCAGCCCCTTCCCTCAGCATCTCATGGGGATCACATCCAGCCAACCCCTTCCCTCAGCATCCCACAGGGATCACATCCAGCCAGCCCCTTCCCTCAGCATCTCATGGGGATCACATCCAGCCAGCCCCTTCCCTCAGCATCTCATGGGGATCACATCCAGCCAGCCCCTTCCCTCAGCATCCCACAGGGATCACATCCAGCCAGCCCCTTCCCTCAGCATCCCACGGGGTCACCCTGATGTGTGGGGTGAGCAGAGAAAGGACCCTTCACCCAGACATGGCCACTCTGGATCCAGGGAAATGGGGATGAGGGGGAAAAGGTCCAATTCACAGCTATTTCCTCCCTTGTGCTGTCAATTAATTTGTCAGTCCCTCTTCCAGAGGGACAGTGGACAGAGCCACACTTTCAATTTGAGGCCCTTGAACATTCTTTTGGCTCTGGTCTTAAGTGCTTTGTTGAACCAGGGCCCAGGAGGTCTCATTGTTCAGAGGCTGTTCTCAATTGTATCTATGTGCTCTTTTCCTTGGCTTCCAACAAAGAGTTGGAGCCAAAGACTCCCCTAGTGCCATGCCAAGGACAAGAAGGAGCCAGGTTCTCTACTGGACCTCTTCCAAGGGCTTGGGATTGTGCACTGCCATTATTTCAAAGCAATATGGCACCCATGCTCCAGCAACACCCAGGGCTGAGATGGATGGAGTGATTCAGAAAGAAAAAAGATATTTAGGTATTTGTAGGGGGAAAAAAGTCTCCAAAACCACTTTACCTTGAGCATTTTTAGAAGCTTTTCTGTGGGAATAAAATTAATCCAAATCAATTATATTATGGGATTATACTACTTTTAATTTTTTTTGTTCTAGTAGTTCACAACCTGAGTCCCAAAAGCCACAAAATGCTGATGTCCCCACTGCAGTGCTCTCTGGGGTCCCCGCACGTGGAACACACACTGCTCACCTGTCAGTAGCTCTGCTTCACTTTCAACCCTCCTGAAAAGCTTTTTGGCAATGCATTCAGCATCCCTCCCTGGGGCACACCCGCAGCTGCTCCCCCTGTCCCTGCCTGCAGCTCTGCTCGGTCAGAGGGCACAGCACCACAGGCCTGGGGCACGGCCCTGCCTGAGCCCAGCCACTGCTGGGCACTGCAGCCAGGGCTGCAGGGCAACTCCCTGCCTCTCCCAAAGCTCCCTCTCTGCTCGGGACATCCATCCCGGTAACACCTATTGCCATGTTCCCTCTAGTCCTTGGCAGATGGAGGGAGCACCAGGCCCCCAGATTCACGAGAAAAGGGGAACCTATTCCTTGTTTTGTGCAAGAGTTAGTGACTCTCAAGGAGAAAGAAGGTGAATGTAGGAAGAAAATGCTGTATAGTGTCCTAAGGATTTATACCAGTCAGCAAAAGTGCTGAGAGCTCACTTAGAGCTCCCACAAAAAAATCAAAGGGATATCAGGATAGGAAAGGTGCAAATGCACCTGCTGGTGACAGTGAAAAAATAAATGACACTTTTAAATGCATTTTTCATATTAATTCCCAACATGAAAACCCAGATCACATCACCCTTTGAGAGCTGCCTGTCCCCAGCTGTGTCCCTCTCCAGCTCCGTGCTGGGGAATGTTGGGGTGCGCAGATCCCAGTGCTCAGGCAGTGCTCCACAGGCACAGATCCCAGTGCTCAGGCAGTGCTCCACAGGCACAGATCCCAGTGCTCAGGCAGTGCTCCACAGGCGGTGCTGTCGCTGTGCTGAGCACACCTGGCTGTTGTGTTACAGTCCCTTCCTTCCCATCGGGCCCCTTCCTTCTCTAAGCCTGGTGCTCCTCCCACACCTCCCTCCTGCTTTCCACAGACACAGTCAGAAAACTTTATTTACAATATTTGTTAACAATAAAAATCCATGCTGTGAGCATGCCCTGTGTGTTACAGAGTAAAGCAATGGCACTGGAATGGTGGGAGACTCCGTGGGATGTGTGGTGACCCCAGAGCAAAGGCCGGCCTCGGGGACTCAACAGGAGTGTCCCTGTCACAGCCCCACAGAGCCCATCTCGGATCCCACACGCCTGCCACAGAGAAGCTGCTGAGCACACTCGGCCTGGCATTACTGCCCACACCCATGGCCCCAGCCATGCCCACTCCAGGCTCCTCCAAACTCCTGCACAGCCTCACTGGGCACAGGGAGCAGAGCTGGGGGAGGGATCCCCAGGCCACAGCACTGTGCCCTGCGAAGCTGGTCCCCACTGCCCCCAGGAGTGCCCTGCTCTGTGCCCGTGAGCAGGGGAGCAGGGCTGGCACAGTGCAGGGATGCAGGGATGCAGGGATGCAGGGATGCAGGGATGTAGGGATGTAGGGATGCAGGGGTGGGGCTGCCTCTGCCCCACAGGCTGCAAGTGAAGCAAGTGTATCTGTGCTGAGAGCACAGTGCCAGGCACCGGCATCCCACGGGATCCCACGGGATCAGGTGGAGGGAGGACAGCGCCCAACCATGTACTAGAGGTGGCACCCGTCACCTGTGCCACCCCCGTGTCCCCACAGTGTCCCCCATGACCCTGTGCTGCAGCCCCTTCCATCCAACAGGGATGCAGTGCACCTGCCCCAGCAGCGTGGGCTCATTTGGGGCAAAACCTGTCCCTCCCAGTGGCATCCACAAGCCGCCGATGTTGAAGTTTGGGGCTCAGGAGCAGATTCCTGGTGTCCAATCCAGGCAGTGCTGAAACCTGGACACAGAATTCCTCCCCCGCTCCCGTCTCAGTTAAATAACGCCTGCTGTACATGCTTACAGACATATATACACCTATTTATACAGATCCCCCAGCACGTCCGGGTCCCAGTCTTCCGCAGGGAAGCTCTGGAAGCAGCAAGTCGGCGGCACAAGGTCCCGGCTGGCGATGCCTCACGTCGTGGATGGGTGAGCGAAGCTCCTCTGGCTCGTGCTCCTGCAGCTGAGGACGAAGGAGGAGGAGTTGCTCTTCTTGCTCAGGTCACACGCCGGCTGCGACTTCAGGTAGCGCGTGGAGCAGCAGAGGAAGCGCCGCATCAGGTCGTGGAAGAGGTGGCCGGTGTAGAGCATGTAGATCCAGGGGTTGCAGCAGCTGTTGAGGCTGGCCAGGAGCATGGCGATGATGAACGGGGAGGCTGCAGGGCAGAGGCAGCGTCAGGGCACGGCACTGAGAGCCCCGGCCCTGCCGGCACCACGACACCCCTCCCCAACCTGGGGTGTGCCTCCCTCCCTGCAGGAACACCACCGCGGGAAGGGAGAGCTGATAAATCCGTAGGGGGAGGAAAGCCTCGGTTGAAGCATACTGGGTTTAGGTTTTTCACAAAAAAAGCTGCATTTCCTGTTCTGCTCCGGCGCTGCCGCCTGCCCAGCATTGCCCTGGAATGCCTGGCCGGGAGGCAGAGGTGCCCCTAGCAGCACCTGCACAATCTGCCTCTACAGTGCCCAAAGCCAGAGAAAGGGAGCGTGGCCGTGCACTTGCCATGGCAAAGAGCAGGACCGGGAGCAGGAAGAGCCGGTGGCTCATTTCCCGCCCCCCCAGCAGCCAGTTTGGGGCAGACAAGCAGCTTCCACCCACTCAGGCCATGTGGCAGCCACGCTCCCCCAGCCCCAGGGCACCCCCTGCTCCTGGGCTGTTCCTCCTGCCAAACCCTGACTGGCACAACAGTGCCCTGTCTGAGCCCTTTTGCCTGGACCTCCCACAGCATCTTTCTCCCGGCATCTTTCTTTCCCCAAAATTAATTTTTCTCACATTGCACTCTGCCAAGAGAGGTGACAGCCATTCCCACACCAGGAACAAAGTCCAGGAGCCTGGCAATGGCTCCTGGCCACAGGGGTGGCATTTGAGACCAGAAGGATGGTGGCAGTGCAGTTCCAGGACATCAAATCTCTGGTTGCTGCTCTCTGTCCCCAGAGCACAAAGTACCGATTGTCCCACCTGAAAGGCTGGATCAGCACCTCCTGTGACAAGGGGATGGTGGGACTGGCACCTCCCATGGCAGCAGGACAAGGTGGGACAGCCCCTGAGTGAGGTGGCTGCAGGCAGGGATGGAGCCTTCATCCTGCTCCCCATCTTCCAGCCCATCTCTTCAGCTCCTCTGCTCCCAGGGAAGCGCCAGCAGTGAGGACACACATGATGGTTTGGCTGTTCCTGGTCCCTTCCTGCCTCTGCAAAAATCCACTGGCAGTTTTTAAACTAGTGAAGAAGTGTGAATACGAATGCTTCCAAATTCACTTTTAGCCAATGGATGCTTCCAAATTCAGTTTTAGCCAATGGATGCATAATTCCTGCTCTAGTGATGTCTGCTCCAACCACTTTTAATTTCAAGCATATGCTAAAATAATTCCATGGGGAATGGCTACAAATCCCAGGCACAAGACCTGAAATACATCACAGCATTTCTATCCACTTAAAAACATCCAGCCAGGCTGACTCAGCTCTTCCCTTTCTGCAGGAGGCAAATTGAATTTCAGGGAGCTCACTGCAGGGCATGTCCAGAGGGTGGATTGGTCCCCTCTCTGTCTGGAACACTGGAGATTCCCGAGGGGTGCTGCAATCAGCAAGCTCTGCCCCTCAGGGATGTTTCCTCTCCCCATATTCCCCACTCCAGGCTGGGGGTGCCCAGAGGGGTGGGCAGAGGTGGAGGCTGTGCCCTGGCAGGGCTGTGGGGGCTCTGCTGCAAACACTCAGTACAGGAGTGGGATGGGATGGGATGGGATGGGATGGGATGGGATGGGATGGGATGGGATGGGATGGGATGGGATGGGATGGGATGGGATGGGATGGGATGGGATGAGGAAGGCTTCCCAATTCCCACACGCTGACACAGGCCATCACTCCCAGCCCACATGTCAGGGCACCAGACCCTGAGATGAAGGGAACAATACAAGGGTCACAGCACTTGACAGCCTCGCTGTTCCCTCCCGAGTGCTTTGAGCCAGCTCTGACTCCGAGCTCAGAATGCCGTGTGTGTTCCCTGGAAGGTGTGTGCAGCAGGAAGCTCCTTCCAACCTGCAGCCTGTGGAGGACCCCTGGTGCTTAAACTGCCACCTGGATGTGACGTGTGGCTCCAACCCACCTTACAGAGGCTGTGAGTGTGTGTGGCCACCTAAGGAGGGGATCGCACTGCCTGGCACGGGGACACACCCCAGCCTTTCCCAGGCACACAGCAGCCCCACGAGCCTGGCAGTGCAGCTGGGCTCCGAGGAGCTGGGTGCTCACGTTTAGGAACCTTCGTCTGCCCCATCAGCCACGGGGAAGGGACACAGAGGAGCTGCCAGACCTGGGAGCTCCACGGTCCCAGGGTGCAGGGGCCGGTGGTGGGGCAGCAGCCAGGGACCAGCCCCATCCTGCCGCCCACCTGGGCAGGGCTGCAGCCCCCTGCTGCCCTTGCCTTGGTTTATGGACATTGTTCTATGGAAGTGAGGAAAGCGGCTGCAGAGTGGCCAGAGGCAGCAGGGTGAGCCCTCCCTGGTTCTCCCCTCGCTGCCGAGGAAAGGAGGGCACTGCCCTTGTTCTCTTTGTAGCCTGATCTCTCACCCTGCACATGCAGCTGATGGCATCCTGCCGAGGTGGGAGCCCAGCCCCCAGCAGTGTCAGGGTTTCACCCAGGACAGACCAAGCACTTTGCATCCCACTGCTCCTGCCTGAGTTCTGCGGCTCGTCACACTCCGGGAGGCTCAGGACAGCAGGGTCCCTGCTCAGCCCTTCATCAGGGCTCAGTCAGGTACCAACAGACCTTCCCTCACCAGGGAGACTGTTTGACATCCTGTGTGGAGAAAGCTAAACATTTTCTAAGGAGGTGACTTCCCTCCCCAGCCTGTGGGATGTGCTGGTCAGCCCCTGGTGCAGCCGTGCCCCCACTGCCACCCAGCAACCCCCTCCCTGCCTCTGCCCTGCCCTCCCTGCCCTGTGCCCACACAGCTCTGGGGTGAGGAACAGCCACATTCCCTTCCCACCACCTCTCCAGCACCTGCCATGCTGCCCAGCCACAGCACCCAAGCCTTGGCAAAGGGAGGGGATCAGAGATCAAGGCAAAGCTATGGGAATGCTGCAGGCAAAGTCCGTATCCTCTGCAGAGAGGTCTGACCCTGCCACCCCTCTCATGCCTCTGGGCAGCCAGTGAGGAGGAGGGCATGGGAGGAAGGGCTGGGGTCTTCCAGCACTTGCTATCCACAATAATCCCCCCCCAGGCTTTTCCTCCCCATGTCACGAAAGCCTCCATCAAGTGCCCTGGCAGGGTTCCCACCCTGTGTCGCAGCCACGGGCTGCCTGGCCACAGGAACATGGAGAGGGGAGTGTGGTACAGCTCAGTGGGGCTGGAGCTTCCCTTGATACCTCAAAGCAAAGAAGGAAAGAAAAGGGAAAAGAAAATGGAAAGGGAAAAGAAAATGGAAAGGGAAAGGGAATGGGAAAGGGAAAAGGAACACAAGGCCACTGGCACAGGGTGAGCAAGGGATGTTTCCCGGTGCAGCAGGCAGGCTGGGATGGGCAAACATCTCATCCACCGCCGCTCCACTGCAGGGTCAGTAAAGCAGCAGAGGTTGGGGTGCTGGGAAGGTTTGGATGCTGGGAAGGTGTGGGTGCTGCTGAGGAAGGGGAAGCCCTTGAGACTGCAGGATTGAAATACAGCAAGTGAGAGCCAGCGTTTCACCCCAGGGCCCATCTAGGAACTCGAGTTTTGATCAGCCTAAATCAGGCGGAAAACCCAGGGCCGGCTGCCTGGAGCATCCAGGGGGGTTCAAAAAGCCACACTTCACTTCCAAAATAAAAGGATCAGAGAGAAGCAGAGAGGCAGAACAAGACAGCCTGGCTTTGTCTCTCAGTCAGCTCGGCCCAGGGGGAAGAGGTGTGCACAGGCTGCAGGAGACACTGGGTTTTCCACAGAGCACGGTACAACTGGAGTAGGATTGAGGAAAGGCAGAGTGGTCGGTGTGAGGGGCTGGGCTCTGGGAGCAACTGTGCCCCCACTGCACAGCCCTGTGCCACGGCAGGGCTCTGGGGCTGGCAGGGAGCAGCTCCTCCTCGCTCCTTGGCATCCCCAGACCGGGTATTTCTGTTGAGCCCAGTCTATCCAAGGAGTTCTCATCCCCAAATACACTTTTCTGTCCTTTCTCCTACCTCACGAAGTTGTGCAGAGTTTTAGTTTCAGCTCTCCCACGTGGCTCTCCCTGCAGGGGCAGAGGGAGCGGCGGGGAGCTCCGCTGGAGGACAGCACAGACCTGCACAGACCCAGCCGGGTCAGACCAGGGAGGGGGATATGCTTTATTCTACCTGCAACCTCCAGGATGACAGGAGCAGCCAGCCCAGCTATAAGAAATGGCAAATCCTGACACCACATCTTTTAGGAAAGGCTTTGCCCATTAATCAGAGGCTTTCTGTGGGAACCGTGCTCTAGTCAGAGGCGAAAGAACAGCAGTGCAGTCCCGGGGTGTGTGGAGCGGGAGGAGGGGGAGAAGAGGGCAAAGGAGTAGAAAGCAAAGAAGTCAGTGAGGAGAAAACAATACAGCAAGGGGAGGGAAGTCGGGCTGCGCAGCCTTCTCCTGAGCTCCCACAGTCCCCAGCGTGGCCTGGCACCCAGCGTGGCCAGTGAATCTCCAGAGACCCCAGGGTGGCTCCATGAGAGCTGAGAGCAGCACCTGGGGACAGCCACCACCCAGGACAGCCACCACCATCCATGCAGCCTGACCCCTGAGCGCAGTGGCCCTGAATTTGCCAGGGTTAAGGTAACCCCTGACCCAGGGGAGCTCCAGCACAGCTACTGCTGCCTGTCAGGGGGTTTACCCATGTTCATGACTTTCTCCCATCTCCCTCCCAGTCCCAAAACCCAGTTTGGAGCAGAGTTTCCACCGTGGGTGTCCCCAGGGCACCGAGCAGAGCTGTCCAGGCACGGCAGGGCGAGGGAGGGGAGAAGCCTTACCTTCCTGTGGAGCGTTGGTGTCCCACACGGACCACATCTGCACGAAGAAGAAGGGAGTCCAGCACACTATGAATGCCAGCACGATGATAAAGGTCATTTTGACTGTCCGGATCTTGGCTTTGGAGATGAGCCTGGTGCTGCTGACCCTGGCAAACACCATCCCACTGCAGGAGCCTGAGCCCAGACCCACTCTGGGCCCGTGAGCCGTCTTAAGCTTCACATTCTGCCAGATTTTGAAGCTGATTAAGCCATAGCAGACACTCAGCATCAACACAGGGATGATGTAGACCATGAGGGTGATCCAAGTGACATAGGCTTTCGGTCCCCAGGGCTGGATGAAATCTGCCCAACAGTCATAAACCCCATTCCCCACATCCCTGAGAGAAAATATGTGGATCTGAGGGATGCTGACCAGCAGGCACAGCAGCCAGGTGAGGAGGACAGAGACCCGGTCAGCTCTCCTGTGCAGGGACCTCAGTGGCTGACAGATGGCCAAGCACCGGTCCAGGGACATGAGCAGGAGCATGTAGGTGGAAGCAAACATCCCCACTACCTGCAAGTACTTGATCAAGCGGCAGAGGAAATCTGGCCCGTAGAACCTGAAGGTGATGTCCCAGATGAGCTGGGGCAGCACCTGAAAGATGGCCACGACCAGGTCAGCGATGCTCAGGTGCTTCATGAAGAAGTACATGCGGGAGTGCTTGTGGCGGGTGGTGTGGATGGCCAGCAGCACGCACAGGTTGCCGGTCAGGGCGAGGAACAGGATGAGGCACAGGACCGTCACCTCCACCTTGGCCATGTCCTCGTTCCTCTTCAGGGGGTCGGCGGTGCTGTTCCTGCCGGCGCTCTGGTTCTCCAGCCGGAGGCTGCCGTTCCCCAGGGAGCTGTTGATGGTCCAGGCGCTGCTCCCCGCCAGGTACAGCTTCTCCATGGCCAGCGCCGGCCCGCATCGAGCCTGGGGCGGGAAGGGGGCAGAGAGGGGGCAGAGGGTGGGCAGAGCCTCTACCGACCGCGTCCCTCTGCGGCAGCCGGGTGTCCCCGCCGCTCTCCCGCCGTGTCCCCGTCACGGTGCTCCGTGTCCCCTCGGCTCTCAATATCCCACCCGCTCTCCGTGTTCCCCCGCTCCGTGTCCCCTGCGTGTCCCCTCCCGGCCGTGTCGCTCTCTCTACCCTGCGGTCCCGGTCCTCATCCCTGTCCCTGTCCCCGTCCGTGGGGTGGCGGCTCCCCGCGGCTCCTCCCTGTCCCCTCCCCGGGCACTCGGCGTCTCCGCCGGCCCCTGCCCCGCCACAAGCCCCGGCGCAGGGGCCGGACGAGCGGCGGGGGCGGTGGGGAGAGGCGGGTCCCGGCGCGGCCCCTCGGGGGCCGCCCGCAGCCGCTGGCCCCGCACCCGGACCCGCCTCAGCATCTTCCCCCCCGCCCTCTCCGGAGCGCGGCCGCGGCGGGGCGGGGGCCGGTCCCGCTCGACCGGCGGCCCCCGGGCAGTCCCGTCATCCCCGGGCAGCCCCGTTACCCTACACAGCCCCGTTTCCCCCGCAGCCCCGGTTCCCGCACAGCCCCGTTTCCCCCGCAGCCCCTCTCCCGCACAGCCCATCTCCCGCCCGCCTCCGGCCGTGCCCGGAGCGGGGAGCGGAGGAGCGGCCGCGGTGCCGGGCGGGGTCCGGGGCAGCGGGGCAGGCAGAGCCCCGGGGGCCGCCAGCGCCCGACAGCACAGAGACCTCCCGGCACCGGGCAGGCAGCGGGGCGGGAGAAGGCTCACCAGGCTCATCTCCCCGCTCCGGGCTCATCTCCCCCGTCCCAGGCTCACCCCCAGCACAGCCCTGTCCCGCTGGAGCTGCCGTCGCAGGACCCGCAGAGAATGTCCCCCAGTATCTTCCAGCCCAGCCTCGTCCAAGGAGCAGGCGCGTGCATCAGTCACTTGGCAGTTAAAACATCCACCAACAACTTCACCTTTCTTTCAGGAGGATTATTTCAGAGTATTATTTCTATAAAAGAAGGAGAGGTGGCTGTGTGTGACACCATTTGCCACCAGCTCATCAGCACAGTTCACTGGTTTTCCCTGTTTTCAGGCTCTCTACAAGGGACCTAAGAGTGCAGGTGGGATGTTCAGAGGAGCATCAAACCCACCCAGTCCCCCCTCAGCCCAGTGGCAGCTGCCACTGAGTCACTCCCAGACCCTCAAACCAAAAAGATGTCCCAACCAGCAGGGACCTGCCTGGTCTGGCCCTGAAGGCCCCCAGCATCGCCCCCATGCCCCCCACTCTAAAGCCACATCTCAAATCCTGCTCAGCCCAGCCTTAGGCCATGAACAAATATCCCTGCAGTTATTTTTAAAGATTTTTGGGAACCTTTAGCTGCATGCAGGATGTAGAAATGTAAATACTTTGGCAAGTTCTTCCCTCCAGGGTTCACGTTCTTCCTCCTTCAGGCAATAAAACTGCTGTGGGAATCGCTGTGGATCACGGCTCACCATGTGCAATGCTTTTTTCATCATTCTGCCTTTTTTGGGAGAGCTCTGGAGGAGGAGGTGACTGGGGTAAAACCGTGGCTCCAGCGGAGGCAAGGAGAGGTTTGCCCTTGGCTTCTGTGTGGCTCGTTGAGCATCTCGCAGGCACCAAGGGATGGAAATGTGCTTGAGGACCCAGGTGGGGTGGCAGCACGGTGAGATGCTGCCTCAGGTGAGGCAGAGCAGCCACCCCTCCTCTTTGGCCTTGGAGGAGGTGTCACTCACAGCTGCACAGAGCCCAGCTCCTTCAGACCAGACCTGAACTGCCAGGAAGGAGCCCCCTGCCCCTTGTGCAGCTCCTACACGTGGCAGCAGAGCACCTCCAGGGGTGATTGTAACTGTGAAATACATTGGATTTCAGCAGCGAGTCACAGGTGCTCAGCTGGGGAAGAGCTCTCCAAGGATTCATCCTGTTTCTCCCTGTGCCAATGCCACACACTCCCAGGGCCATGTTCTCTGGCATGCTCTGTGGTGACCCGGAGTGCACGAGTGCTCGCAGTCAAGGTGAAGGGTCACACGCCTGGGGACTGAAATTTGGGGTTAAAAGGCCAAGCCATGGAAGGGTTTCATTAGTTTTACTGTAAGTGCTTGGCTCCAGCCTGGGCTCCCTGCTCAGGAGCAGGGACTGAGCCGGGTGGGAGCAGTGCTGTGGGAGCCTGGGCCTGGATGCTCCAGGCACAGCCAAGCCCCGCAGTGCCAGGACAGCAGGACAGGGACCCTGCAGGGCTGAACCTCACCCCTGTCCCCATCAGCTTCAGTCAGGTCCACATGGTGCTCTGGACACAGGGTTGTGCTTCACCACGGTGCCCCTGCCCAGGGCAGGCTGCAAGGATCAAGGGGTCCCAGATATCCCCCTTCCATGGCACTCCCAGCCAAGGTCCTGGCTTATTTCATCCCAGATCTCAAACTGCTAAGAAATAAAAGGAACTCCCCCTGTAACTGCAAGGACTGTTACCTGCCCCAGGAACTCACAGCCCCGACACACATTAATTTGGGCAATTAATGCTGGCCCAGGCCCAGGTTGGCTGCAGCTCCTGGAGCCATCCAGCCAGTCCAGCCTCCCGGCCCACGAGGACAATAACACTGTCACTGGGTGACATTAAAATGCTTTACTGCTCATTGTGTGCAGTTGCTGCCTGCTGCATGTTCGACTGTGGGACAGGTTTGGTTCTGCTACTGGAAACCAGCACTGGAGCCAGCACTGCTGGGGGTTCCCTCATAGCAGAAGAGGAGACAGACAAGGTTTAATCATTCTCTCCATATGTCACTTTTCTCACATAAATTACCCAGTATTAAACCCACGAGGGGCTCAGAAAGTGGCACTTCTGAACACAAGGTCATTGCTGCACTGGCACAGCCCCAGGCACAGCAATGGTGGGGAGGCAGCCCCACGGCTGGAGCTTGGCCCCATGGACCCTCTCCATGGGCTTTGGGTGGCCATGGCTGAGTCTGGTCAGGGTCAGATAAAAGGATCCAGCCATAAGGTTTTAATGCCCTTCCCTTCCTCTGTAGTGGGAAGAGAGTGGAGGGAATTGCCATGGCAAAATGTGCCACCTACACCAAATGGGATGTGGGAGCTCAGGACAACAACCAGCTCCTGGTGCCCTTCTCTGGGTGACCCTGTCGGGTCTGGGCACTGGCCCCCAGCAGCCAGAGATGCTCATGGTCCCCTGTAACCCCTCGGTCCTTATTCAGGCAAAGCTGCAGTTGCCCCACAACTAAAACCCAAACATGTGATTTTAAAGCAAAGAATCCTGTGAGAATCAGAGGGTTTTCTGAGTCATCCCCTGCTCCTTCCAGCTTTAAACATTCAGGGATGCCATAGAGCTGGAAACATTCTTATTTTAAAAACACATGCTTTGGGATAATCAAAAGCACAAACACTACATAAAGCTAAATTTAATTGCATGTTGGTTCACTGCTGAATCTGAAATAGATGTTTTTCCAATAGCTATCTGGAATCCCAACTTTACGGTCCCCATGACACAAGAGGTCTGGCAAAACGTCAAGGCCAGGCCATGGCTTTGCAGATGGAGCTGCAGCTACCCATGAACTCCTGTGTGTGGCTGTGGCCCACAGCAGGCACTGCAGGCTGCAGAGCTGGGATATTTTATCTGGTTGCTCTTGCATGGGAATTTCTCTTTATCCTAGAATTTGTCCTAGTCCTCACGTGCTGCACTCAGCCTGCAAGAAGGCCAATTTTGGTAAATTCACTAGAACCACAGAGATGAGCAGTCTCACACACACACCTTCCTGGAGGAGGTGTCTCTGTGTGGAACACAGAGCTCTGTGGGCTCTGGGCCTTATGTGAGGCCTGGGAATACACGAAGGCCAGAGTAAATTACAAGTTTTCTGTGTCTTCCTTAAATGTGCACATGATTAAATCCCCAAGTCAGATATCAGCTTTCTCCATGGCTCACCAGCTGGTTGGGCTGATTTCCAGAGGAATACAGAGTCAATATTGTAAAATGTTCTGTACTGAAGGCAACAAGGCTTTGGAGACAAACCATGGAAATACCAGCAGTGCACAGAATTATGTGGACCCAAAACTTACTCAAAATTCATTGTGTTACTGAGTTCACTTATCAGGGGTAACATACCTCCATCTGAACATGCTGTGTGGACTGGGTTAGCACAGTTACACTCCTGGATAATGTCGTGTCACCCATCACATCACCCACCTGAACTGTGCTCTGGCCATGGTAATTCTTTCTGTTAGTTAAGAAAGAAAAAAAAAATCAAATGGCAAAACTAGTCCTCAGATTGATCATAGTAAATAAAAAACGAAAAGTACAACTGCAGCCCATGGTCAGTCCCAGCATTCCCGCCCCAGCACATGACCCCACTGCCTGGGCTCTGTGCAGGGCTGGGCCATGGCTGGGGGAGGTTCTGGAAACTGAGTCACTGGAAGGAGAAAAGGAGCCAGCAAAGCCACCTTGTACGTGGAGAAGGGAGGAACAACTTGGAGCCTGAAGCCTCGAGCTCTAGACAGCATTCACAGCAGAAAGAGAATTTCCAAGGGTTCACGTATCAAGATCGTTTCTTCTGTTCCCTTCCTTTTGTTTATCTGGGAACACGCTGAACTTACTGAAGGAACTCGGTGTTAAAGATCCCTTCACGTCATGTCCCTGAAAGGTTCATGGGATTCAAACCACTTCCTTCGAAGAAATCCCCAACTCACCGAAATGTGTCAGCCCCTGCTCCAGTGGCCTCCTGCCCACACCAGTGCTGGATCCCAGCTCAGGCTCACCCAGCTTTGGGACAGAATGTCTGCAAAAAGACCCTGAATTTCTTGGCATTAAGCCAGCATCATTTCTATACCCATCACCACTGGCACCCTAAGGGAAGCCTTGGAGCCTCTGGAGACACACTGAGTTTCACCTGGTGCCCAGAGTGCAGTGGGATGCACCTCCTGCCCCGAGGCCCAGGGATCTCACCTGGGCTATGGCAGCAGTGCTGCAATCAAATCCATGAGCTTAAAGCCATTTAAACCAGAGCAGACTCTGGATCCCGCTGATCCCATAATCCACACTGATCCTATCATTCAGAAAGCCCCATTCAGGCTGGGGCAGACCCTCACAGGGTAGAGGTCTGTGATTTCCACAGGGAATCCCCCCTGCTCCCACCCCCCTGCTGCACATAGGCCACATCCAACCACTGAAAGGGTGACAAGGCTCTCCCCAGGCACCTCCCCGAGGAACTGGGTCTGTACAGGGCGCTGTTTGTGCTAAAATGTTTCTCACTTCATCCTGTTACAGCCTCAAAGCCATAAAAACCAATGGAGCCTGCACAGACCCTGGGAATAACAAGCTGGCCAAATACAAACATGAATCCATATGGTTTTCAACAAAGAGGATTCAGATTCAGCTGTTGGGAGATTATATAATGACTTTACTATTTTGGGGGGTTTTACTGTTTTTGTGAGTAACTTCAGGCTGTTCATTTCAGCTGCCCTGAAATCTCACTCACCAAACAGGAGGAAGACTCGCCTTAAACTAAATATCATTTATTATTAACTCCTGTCAGCAACACAGCACCCTTGGAGAAGTGGCCCTGAGGGACCTTGACCCCTGCCTGTCCCCTGCCCACCCTCGGCTACTGCAGGTCCATCACAGGGGTGCAAGGGGACCTCTCCAGTTCAGGGCAGCACGTGGCCAGAGCACAGTCAGCCCAGAGCACCCTGTCAGTGTGATGATGGGAATCCCACAGGGATCCACACCCTCATTCCCACCCAGCACAGGCACAGCCCAGCACCAGCTCCAAGCCCCACCGTGTCCCAGCTGGAGCAGCTCGCTGAGATGGAGCCCATTTCCAGCCAGCAGCAAGGGTGGCTCA